CTTTTATAGCGATTATTAAAATATACCTTATGAAATATTAGAATGTGTAAAGTGGGCATGCACAGACGTACATACATCTACGAGAGGTGTTCATTAAAGATTTCCCCTGACCCACTTCCGATGGACCTAGTGGACTGAAACTTGGTATAGGTATTAGTCTTTCTCCACATAGGAACCACCAAGAGTAACACACTTCTCCCATCGTTTTATGCAACTATGGAGACCTCGCTTGTAAAAGCCCTCATTTTGCGTCTCAAACCAGGACTTGACTTCAGAAATCAGTGTTTCATCATCTGTGAAGCGTTTTCCCTTTAAAAATGACTTCATGGTTGGAAAGAGGTGGAAGTCAGATGGTGCAAGGTCAGGAGAGTATGGAGGATGTGGAAGGATTTCATAGCACAGGACCGCGCTTCTGTCTGTCTGTTGTGTACTGGAGTATTGTCTTGCAGGAGACGGACACCCTTGGTCAGCATGCCACGCCTCTTAAGCTTGATAGCGTCCCGCAATTTCCGCAGCAGTGAAGCATAATAAGCTCCTGTAATTGTGGTACCCTTTGCCAAAAAATCCATCATCACTTCTCCGTGCTGGTCCCAAAACACCGTGAGCATGACCTTGCCTGCAGAGGGTTGGACACGTGCCTTCTTTGGGGGTGGTGACTCCACATGCTTCCATTGCATCGACTGAACTTTAGTCTCAGGATCATAGTGATGGACCCATGTTTCATCCTGTGTGATAAGTCTGTCAAAAAAGTTTGCCTGTTTTTTTTTGGCACATGTCCAAAAGATCCTTTGAGCAATTGACTCGTTCCTGCTTTTGGAAAGGTGTGAGCAACCTGGGAATCCATCGTGCAGACACCTTATGCATGTTCAAATTGTCATGGATGATTTTTTCCACAGACCCTACACTGATCTTGACATCTTGTGCTAACTGGCGAACAGTTATACGTCGGTCTGCCAAAATGGCGGTCTCCACTTGATGGATAGTGTCCTCATCAATGGCTGAATGGGGGCGACCAGGAATGGCAGCTGTTTCCACAGATGTCCGACCACACTTGAACTGGCGATGCCAGTGTTTAACAACGTCATATAATGGGGCATCTTCCCCATAAGTTGCCTTCATTTCATCGAAAGTTTCTTTTGGTGTGCGACCTTTCAAATATAAAAACCTAATCACTGCTAGGTATTCTATTGGCTCCATTGTCACACCCTACTCGATCATAACACCTGTAAAAGTGGTAAGATTAATAGTTCGGTGCTGCAAATTCAGACATAACCCATAGATACATGTATCATTACACATGTGAAATTTCAACCAAATATGATAACCCTAAGTGGTTTAGGGGAAATCTCTAATGAACATCCCTCGTATATATACGTCTACGGGACATGTGACTGCAGAGATGGGTGACTTTGCTCAGGTCTTTCATACTTTTAAAGTATTTATGGACCATGGCAAAAGTATGTAACGGAGGCATTACGTCTAGGTTGGATGAACGGCGAATACATGTGGGGGGTTCGTGGGATTTGTCAATGGGATTTATACAGTAAGGTTAAGTTACTAGTGTACAATGACAAGAATCTAAAACTTAACAAACATACCAATACATTATACCACGAGTATCACTTTATCTAAGCATATATCACACAGTACAGTCATCCATTTTAGTTGTTAGGGCAGAACAAAATTAAAGTCTGTCAGCTTAGCTGAGTTTAGACATGTGTATCAAATGATAGCTTTTATTAACTAGTTGTATCCATTAACATGACTTTGTCAGATATTGAGGGTATATATTTATTGTATACCAGCTGGCATTGACGTATAAAGAGACAATCCACTTCCATAACTGGTGCTTTAACAAAGATGCTCATCTTCGCTTTATCAGATATTAACGTTTTGATTTGTGTAGCAGGATTATAAATATCAGGGCAGTGGTAATATATTACAAACGGATTTAATTGCTATAAATACATATCTGGGTGAATATCTGTGTCATGTCAGTTCCGTGTCAAATATCATTATTACATTAAGAGGAGATAACTGAACACGAAAAATACAGCATGCTAGAAAAAACGATTCCTCAATCCATATTCACAACTATGAGATGGTTGATATACCCCAAATCATAAACGCAAAGATATTTAAGATTCGAACGAATTACATCGAATTTCGAAATTTGTAAAAGAAAACTGTCCATGAAAGGAACCTAATGTCATAAGATCGGAAACTGTTATGTAAAAAATATCATGGAGTTTAAACCTGTTAGCTACTAATTATGGAAACAAGAAATAAGCGATCTCTGTTTTAGCGCTAATATTATTTACTATGAAAGGGGTAGAATCAAAGTTATCGATCTTGTTTGAAGTAGTTCTCGTGTTCATACGCCAATATGAAAACCTTCGAGAGGGGCACGAGTCTACTCGGCTTGCCCGGGATTGGGACGGGTTGGTCACGAATGGGTTGATGCATGTCATCGCATCCCAATTGCGTGGATCGATGTTCATGATGTCAATCACTGGATTGTTTGGTCCGGATTGAATTTATTGACAAACCGCCGTCAAATAACTGGAATATTGCTGAGTGTGGCATTAAACAACAAACAAACAAACAAACAGTTAACTATGGCGAAGTGGTAGTGGTAGTTCAGGAACACGTGCATGTGTAAAAAGACTTATTGTCCGCTAGGAGTCCTACGCTGGACTAAGCCAGTGGGTACTGGGCGGACAATATGTAAGAGGCGACTAACGGGATCGGGTGGTCAGGCTCGCTGACTTGGTTGATGCATGTTATCATATCCCAATTGCGTGGATCGATGCTCATGATATCAATCACTGGATTGTCTGGTCCAGACTCGATTATTTACAGACCGCCGTCATGTAGCTGGAATATTGCTGAGTGCGGCGTTCACCAATCAACCAACCAACCAACCAACCAACATGTCATTTTACAACAATACAGTCAGGGAACATAATTCACGAAATACTAACGTCATGATAATGTGCAAGCGAGATTGATTTGACTAAAAATAAAAGCCCTGAGGTTTTCCTTGACTTCCCCGTGGCCTCCACATACAGTGCAGAGGATGAAGGAATTTTAGGTAAGTTCTGAGGAGAAAATTTTGAGTTCGAATCACACCAGTGTTGCTCTTGAAAATAAAAGGACCATACACATTTTGTTTTGACAATATATACGTATTGTATGTTTTGCGCCTGAATGATCTGCATCACATAACATGATCTCACGTTGTGTTTTACTGTCTCCTGCTTTTTGTGTAGGCTAGTATAACTAGAATTTTAGGAGCCATAATCACACAACCCTATTTTGTTGCTCACACAATTTTGTCGACACGTCGGAAGGGATGTAAGGTGTAATACGAGAGCTGGTCAAAAAGTTCTAACAAACTAAACCAACAATTGTGGAAGTGTTTTTAATTTTATTTTTCAACATAATCTCCCTGTTTTTCAATACACTTCTCGTATCGACATTCCCATTCACGGCTGCTGTGAGGTCATAGTGCTTCCACGAAGGTGTTCTTACTGTTTAGAAAACAAGTGGAACTCACTTGGTGCCAGGTCTGGCGAGTATTGAGGGTGAGGAAGCTCTTCGAACCCACATTGTCGCACTGCAGCCTTTGCAAGTCGAGAGATTTGAGATGAGGTATTGTCATAATATAGTACAACTCTAACAGTCAGCTTTCCTCGCCGCTTTTCTTTGATAGAAACTGTCAGGCGATGAAGCAAATCAGCATAGTAGGCACCGGTAATCGTCTTTTGACTTTCTAAGCAATCAACAAGGATCACAACTTTGCATCCCAGAATATAGTGGCCATAGCTTTCTTCACTGATCTTGAAGACTTGAATTTCTTTGGTGCTGGAGAAGTGGAATGGTGCCATTCCATGGATTGACGTTTTGACTCTGGATCATAGTGGTAGACCCATGTTTCATCATCCGTTACTACTCCCTTTTTGAGGGGTTTTAGTTTTAGTAAAGTGTCCCTTACAATGTCAGAATTTAGAAACTTTGGCACCGAACTAACAGATATCTTATTTATCTGTAAATGTTCATGAATAATACTTTCAATGGATCCATGGCTTAGACCTGTGTCTGAGGGAAGTCCAGACCTAAGGTCATCATCAAGGCTTGTTCTCCCAGCCTTAAACATGGCTGCCCAACGTTTAACAGTGGAATAGCTAGGGCACTTATCCCCCTACACTTGGGGCATGCGGTCATGAATATCTAGAGGAGTACCTTTCTCTAAAGTAAAAAACTTGATGACTGCTTGGTACACCTTCTTTTCCATTTCTGTTGTCATTTGGACCCCTATCCCGTTCAACTGGCTGTCACTAATATACAAATGGCCAAATACACTTGCAATGAACTACTCAAACAAAGAACTATATTGACTAGTTCACTTTGTCATGGCCCATAGTTGAAAGTTAGCCAGGCTTAGAACCTTTTGACTAGCCCTCGATCGCTGTTTCACTCATGCCACCTACCCGCCTGGTGGTAACGTCCAGGTATGTATCACCATGGGGGCAGCTCGTGTGACGGACACCGTCAAGGAAGGCTTCACGGTATCTATGTTTTACACATGCACGTGGCCATCATTTCATGTGTTTGCGCACAATAATTCTTTATATTTTGAAGTTTCAGATTGAGGCTTTCTTATAGACGGCAACATTTCCGATGACGGATGAATCACAATATTAACCCTCGTGATAGGGGATCAACTCGCTAAGCAGAGGTACCACTGTCCACGGCCAACCCACGCAATAACAACACCTGGGTGAGTATACACACTACTATATTAGTATTTAATTCAACAGACTTAAGTAGAATGTTTACAATCAATTATATATATTCACAACAGTATAACAAAGAGAATATGTATAATATACACAAAGGTAGAACATGTTAATAATATCACATGATGTTGCATTTATTCCATAGTAACAGAGTGAACGTTGCTTGCCTGACTATTTGGTGGGCATGGGGAAGAGGGCATGGGGAAGTGGGCATGGGGAAGTGGGCATGGGGAAGTGGGCATGGGGAAGAGGGCATGGGGAAGTGGGCATGGGGAAGAGGGCATGGGGAAGTGGGCATGGGGAAGAGGGCATGGGGAAGTGGGCAAGGGGAAGAGGGCATGGGGAAGTGGGCATGGGGAAGAGGGCATGGGGAAGTGGGCATGGGGAAGTGGGCATGGGGAAGAGGGCATGGGGAAGAGGGCATGGGGAAGAGGGCATGGGGAAGTGGGCATGGGGAAGTGGGCATGGGGAAGAGGGCATGGGGAAGAGGGCATGGGGAAGAGGGCATGGGGAAGAGGGCATGGGGAAGTGGGCATGGGGAAGTGGGCATGGGGAAGAGGGCATGGGGAAGTGGGCATGGGGAAGTGGGCATGGGGAAGTGGGCATGGGGAAGAGGGCATGGGGAAGTGGGCATGGGGAAGTGGGCATGGGGAAGAGGGCATGGGGAAGAGGGCATGGGGAAGTGGGCATGGGGAAGAGGGCATGGGGAAGACGGGTGGGGGCACTGGTGATGTTCGCTGGGGCTTCTGTCTTGTCACGGGTGATTGATTGTGTGTGTGAGGTGGGCGGCAACTGGAATGAAAAAAGCATCATGGACCGATTGATATTTCTAATACAATTGTAAAAGACTTATTATATGTCGCCAGGACATGGAAACCTGAGTCAACTGAGCAATGTTTTTCACTGTGACAAGTCAGTAAAACAAGCAGGGATCTGATACCTTTGGAAAATAAACAAACTTGAGGAACCTGCACTGACCTAGTGATCGGTAAATACTGGCGGTTGACCTTTGTCTCTCTACACAGATCTACCGTGATCTACAGACATGGACTGCATCGCGTCTGTCTGTCTGTCTGTCTGTCTCTCTCTGTGTATGTGTGTGTGTCTCTCTCTCTCTCTCTCTCTCTCTGTGTGACAATCGATACAATCCATTCTTTAAGCTCATCGATAGTCGTGGTTCGACCTTGATCACTCCATTCTTTTTAGTCGCCTCGCAAATGTTACTGGGGTCCTGTTCTTACCCAGCATCCCTCGAATACCTCTAAACATTCGTCTCTCTACACAGAAACTGCACCACCGTGATCTTAAGACATGGTTTGCATCGCAACCGTCTCTCTCTCTCTCCCCCCTCTCTCTCTCTGTGTGCAATACACAACTATATGACGAGAGCCTGTGACAATCGAGACAATCGAGACGACCGTCCTTGTGCTACGATACCTTTGTGAAACGGGACCTGGTGATGATAAGGAGGCAACATGGATGAGACAGTGAGCGAAGTTCCCGCAAGTCCCTCTGCATGGATTGATCTCTTAGCGGGTTGTGGCCTCGACTATGGCCCTTGTTCAGCACCGTACACTTGCTCGTTTGTATCACACTGATGTGTATTCTATAATGTGAGCACTGGCAAGCGGTGACATCACTGAAATACGTTTAAAGGAGGAAAGCTGTTTCTTTGAAACCTTTGCTGATGTTCCGAGATAAGTTTTCTACTGAGTTACGTTTGATTGCTAAAAACATAGCAATATGCATCTGTTACATGCTCATGAACCTGTCTGGGAAGGGTATTGGTGTTTCTTATACGTGTTTTATATTGAGACGATTGTCACCATACATCATTGTGGACAGATAAACATCAATCATATGCTGCCGATACTATATTAGAGTCACACGCGAAGTGTAAACCACAATGTCTTCAGTTGTCAAATAGAATAAATGACAATCTACTCTCCGTTATGCCTGTCACATTGCCGATAAGCCACAAGCTGTAACCATTGTATGTAGTTGTCCACAAGCTGTAACCATTGTATGTAGTTGTCCACAAGCTGTAACCATTGTATGTAGTTATACACAAGCTATAACCATTGTATGTAGTTGTCCACAAGCTGTAACCATTGTATGCAGTTGTACACAAGCTATAACCATTGTATGTAGTTGTCCACAAGCTGTAACCATTGTATGTAGTTGTACACAAGCTGTAACCATTGTATGTAGTTGTACACAAGCTGTAACCATTGTCTGTTGTTGTACACAAGCTGTAACCATTGTCTGTAGTTGTACACAAGCTGTAACCATTGTATGTAGTTGTACACAAGCTGCAACCATTGTATGTAGTTGTCCACAAGCTGTAACCATTGTATGTAGTTGTACACAAGCTGTAACCATTGTATGTAGTTGTACACAAGCTGTAACCATTGTATGTAGTTGTACACAATCTGTAACCATTGTCTGTAGTTGTAACCACTCTATGTAGTTGTCCACAAGCTGTAACCATTGTATGTAGTTGTCCACAAGCTGTAACCATTGTATGTAGTTGTACACAAGCTGTAACCATTGTATGTAGTTGTCCACAAGCTGTGACCATTGTCTGTAGTTGTAACCACTCTATGTAGTTGTTCACAAGCTGTAACGATTGTATGTAGTTGTCCACAAGCTGTGACCATTGTCTGTAGTTGTAACCACTCTATGCAGTTGTCCACAAGCTGTGACCATTGTCTGTAGTTGTAACCACTCTATGTAGTTGTCCACAAGCTGTAACCACTCTATGTAGTTGTCCACAAGCTGTAACCATTGTATGTAGTTTTACACAAGCTGTAACCATTGTATGTAGTTTTCCACAAGCTGTGACCATTGTCTGTAGTTGTAACCACTCTATGTAGTTGTCCACAAGCTGTAACCACTCTATGTAGTTGTCCACAAGCTGTAACCATTGTATGTAGTTGTCCACAAGCTATAACCATTGTATGTAGTTGTCCACAAGCTGTAACCATTGTATGCAGTTGTACACAAGCTGTAACCATTGTCTGTAGTTGTCCACAAGCTGTAACCATTGTATGTAGTTGTCCACAAGCTGTAACCATTTTTTTGGAGTTGTCCACAAGCTGGAACCATTGTATGTAGTTGTACACAAGCTGTAACCATTGTCTGTAGTTGTCCACAAGCTATAACCATTGTCTGTAGTTGTACACAAGCTGTAACCATTGTCTGTAGTTGTAACCACTCTATGTAGTTGTCCACAAGCTGTAACCATTGTATGTAGTTGTCCACAAGCTGTAACCATTGTATGCAGTTGTACACAAGCTGCAACCATTGTATGTAGTTGTCCACAAGCTGTAACCATTGTATGTAGTTGTACACAAGCTGTGACCATTGTCTGTAGTTGTCTACAAGCTGCAACCATTGTATGTAGTTGTCCACAAGCTGCAACCATTGTATGTATTTGTCCACACGCTGTAACCATCGTATGTAGTTGTACACAAGCTGTAACCATTGTATGTAGTTGTCCACAAGCTGTAACCATTGTCTGTAGTTGTCCACAAGCTGCAACCATTGTCTGTAGTTGTCCTCGGGCTGTAGCCATTGTCTGTAGTTGTCCTCGGGCTGTAGCCATTGTCTGTAGTTGTAACCACTCTATGTAGTTGTCTACAAGCTGCAACCATTGTATGTAGTTGTCCACAAGCTGTGACCATTGTCTGTATTTGTCTACAAGCTGCAACCATTGTATGTAGTTGTCCATAAGCTGCAACCATTGTATGTATTTGTCCACAAGCTGTAACCATTGTCTGTAGTTGTCCACAAGCTGCAACCATTGTCTGTAGTTGTCCTCAGGCTGTAGGCATTGTCTGTAGTTGTAACCATTGTCTGCCGTTGTCCACAAGCTGCAACCATTGTGTGTCGTTGTCCAAAAGCTGCAACCATTGTCTGTAGTTGTCCACAAGCTGTATCCATTGTCTGTCGTTGTCCAAAAGCTGCAACCATTGTCTGTAGTTGTCAACAAGCCGTTCGCTCTTTTTATTGTCAGTGACTAAGCAACATTTGTAACCCACCAGAAGAAAAGGTACCTTATGGGTGCTAGGATACAATTGCGCCTTGACGTCATAAAGACTTTTGACGGCAACTTACTTCAGTGAAGATCGTCATGTGTCATGTCATATATATCTCGGAAAATATATGAATTGAAGCTTGTGAATTGTGTTTTTGCGTTCCGAAGATGGTGTATTTTTCAAATATAATGAAAAGTCAAACTGTGATTTTTCACCCATTATGTTCCTTATCTCGTGGTTGGTCACATGTTACTAAAGGTCACATGATCGTGGCCAAAATAGACCATCATGTAAGGCAGTTGACACCACACCGGCAGCATCGAGCAGATCCCCATCTTATATGTATCCTCACACGAGTTCAGTCATCCACAGCACATAACTCGCTGTAATCCCCCTAAATGTTTTCCCAACATCGTATTCTTCGGTCTTTACAATTGACTACCACGTAAGGAGGTTTATTCAATAATGTATATCTAGCGAGCCGCCCTGCAAGTAGGCCGCACGCGCCCACGTTGTTTCCTGGTCTACTGCCGTATATACATTGGAGGCAATGTCCAGAGAGATAGCAATCCACTCAAGTAACTATTACCTTACTCCCGCAGGCTATTTGCATCATTAGGCGGCAGAGATACTATATATATTGTCACTTAGCACGCAAATCCTTCTGCGAGCTAGGACAAGGCAAAATACTAGCTCTAATGAACATAAAAGCACAGCCTTCTTTAAGAGAAACTCATAAGCGGGCTTCACAAAGTTGCCCCACCAGATAATACGATGCATCACGCTATATGTTGTGCTTCAGTATCATCAATCGCACTGGCAGCTGGGTAGATATAAATCCCATCTCCTACCAGACCTGTAATCTCTCACACCAGTTCAGCGGGAGGAGGTTGACGCTGGCGCATCACAAGAACATGGAAGACACAGCTTCACGGGGCAAATGAATGCTAGGTTGATACCTGGGTCACCTTCAGAACAAACAGTGTCCTGAAATCACAGACTTAAATGGAAAATAACTGAAGCCTGTAAATGAATGAATGCCAGATCACAGACAGATGTTGCTGCTGCTACTGATAATGATGATGTTGGTCATGCAAGTAAACTATCAGATAATGATGTCTTTGTTGGTAAAACAGCTGAAAATGGCGATCTTGATACAGCACCAGGTACTTGTGTGATAAAATACTTGCTGTTTCCCCTGTACATTACACAACTCTAAGGGTGCACCACGTGGGACACGATGTGTCTTGTTGTATTCACGTTTGAGAGGGTAAGCTGTGAATATACAAATAACAGTGTCAGCTGATGCTATCATTTTATTTTTACAATATCAGATTATTATCATTGCAGCTTTGTTATCCTCCATCCCGTCTACTCATCTACTAGTAAAGACTAACCATCGTGAGTTCCATGTGTGATTGGTTAGAATTTCATCCTCCATGTAACAAATATATTTTTAGAAACGAACAGAGACGGTACCTAAGCATGATATGTCTATGTATACAATGAATGTATTCAGTTATCAAGACAGCAGCTTAAATGAGAAAGCTCTTCCCTAACAACAGAGTGTCTTCATCATTTCATGACTCGTGTTGTCGATTCGATAAATCAATTCCATAAACCCCGATAAATATGCAACAGGGGTCACCTAGCAGCAACTTCTTAAGCTCCGTATGGAATGTCTGCTTGCTAAATGGTCTATTAACTAACTTTCCTAATAAGTATATG